GGGGTCGGTTAAAATTTTTCAAATATATTTTTTTTGAAAGAGGCCTCCTATGCTCATCGAGGCTGAATTTATTTGATAAAAACTACAGGAGAAACAGTAATATTGTGAATTATTTTAACAAAATGTTACCAAAATTAACTAAAATAAAATAACTGTTTTCTATTTTAATATATGTTCAAATGTAAGTTATTGCTGTGATCAAATTTTCAGCGTCATTACTCCAGTCTTCAGTGTCACATGATCTTCAGAAATCATTCTGGTATGCTGATTTACTGCTCGAGAAACATTTATTATTATCAAAACGTAAGTTAAAACAGTTGTGCTGCTTCATATTTTTTTGTGGACACCATGTTTTTTCTTTTTTTTTTCCTTGATGAATAAAAACTTAGCATTATATGTATTTATTGTTACTTTTGATCGATTTAATGCATTCTTGCTGAATAAAATTATTAATTCTAAATCAATTATAAAATAATTAAAGGGGTCATATGATGCAATTTCAATTTTTCCTTTCTCTTTGGAGTGTTACAAGCTCTTGGTGCATAAAGAAGATCTGTAAAGTTGCAAATTAAAGAGTGCATATACACAAGTTGTGTTTAGCTTTTAAGTTCAGTGTTGTTTAAATCTTCATTTATAATAGGATTTCCCTGCTGTTTCTTGATATATTTATTTGTGCACTGTTATTCTTCAGTTATCCCTATGCTTTTTCATAAAATATGATGTTTTCAGAAAACTAATTGTTATCATCAATCGTGACTACATTTTTAAACCTCAGATTTTCAGTTTATGCAAGGTTTTGGACAATTTTTTCCTGCTTATTTATCATCTTATGACACGATTAAAAAAAAAAAAGTATTGCATTTAAAAATAGATCCAAATTTACTGGAAAAAATGTTCCCTAAAACATATAATTAAGTAATAAAATAAGTAATTTTTGTCCAGCATTATTAGCTGTCATTTCTCTTTTTTTTTTTTTGATAACTGGACTCCAAATTGAGAGATCAATCAGCTGACATGATTTTACAGTCTGTTGCCTTGACCTGCCACTTGCTGGTGACCTTTCCACTCGAAGCGAAGGCCATCTGCAAACAGGACACGTCTGTGACCTTCTCCAAGTGGCGCTGAGATTCAGAGACGCTTTAAATCCAAGCTCATCTTCAGCCCGCAGCCCCGCCGAGCTCTACATCTCCCCACAATCATGTGCTATGAGCGCAGCATCCATCTCTGCGGCTCAAAGACAGACCCGTTCTTCATGCATCAGAGACGGAAAAAGCATGAGAAGCACGCTCCTCGTGGAGAGTGAGGAGGCAGCTTGTGTTTTTCATAAAGCGGATGGTGATTTGTTATGTGCAGAGAATCAGCCTTGGAAAATAACAATTCAAGCTAAACCTTGGCAGTATTCTGCTGCGCAGCACTGAATAAACACATGAGCTGCAAATACACAGAACACAAACATGACAATTTAATAAATGCTCCAAAACGAACAATAAGTAGCATAAGTAGTGTGCTACTAGTGTGTCAGTAGTGTAGTGATGTATGAAGCACAGCTCAAATATAAGTCACTTTCAAACCAAGCAGCTTTCTGTTAGTCAACATGAAGGTGAATCTGCTTGCTAACTTCAAAGCTTTGCAAAACATCACACGAAATTTCATGGATGCCTATTGAAATGACTGGAGTTCACCCATAAAGATTCACCACACAACGGCTGTAGCTTAAAAAAAGAAAGAAGAAAGAAGAGGAAAAAACAAAACAAAGCATGGTTTTACTTTGATTGATTTTTTTTTTTTGCATCTCAAAAAGCTGCAGTTTTGATAGTTTTAATAGCTTGATGTGAAAAACAGAATCAAATTAAGACTAAAAAGTAATTATTCATAAATACTACGTTCCCTCCAGCAATGATAAGGCTATATTGAATATTGATTGATTGATTGATTGATTGATTGATTGATTGATTGATTGATTGATTGATTGATGGAAATTCCAAAATTAACCAACATAATGACTATTACAATAAAATATATACTGCCATTTAAAAGTTTGGGATCAGTACGATTTTGAATCAGTACGATTTTTTAAATAAGTGTCTTGTGCTCATCAAGGCTGCATTATTTGATCAAAAATACAGGGAAAAACTGTAATATTGTGAAATATGATTGCAATTTAAAATACTGGTTTTCTATTTTAATATACTTTAAAATATAATTTATTCCTGTGATGCAAAGTTGAATTTTTAATCAGCCGTTGCTCCAGTCTTCAGTGTCACATGATCCTTCAGAAATCATTCTGATTTATTATCAATATGCTTATTTATTATCACTGTTGGAAACAGTTGTGCTGAGTATTTTTTTTTTGGGGGGGGGGCTGTTTTTTCAGGAATCTTTGATAAATAAAAAGTTATAAAGAACCGCATTGTTTCAAAATAGAAATCTTTTCTAAAAATATAAGTAACCTTTTAGCAATTTAATACACATCCTTGCTGAATAAAATTAAGCTCATTATTTTTATTATTAAATAAAAAAAGGCAAGAAAAACAATACCGACCCAAAACGTAACGGTATATTGTTACAAATGATTTCTATTTTAAATAAAATATATGAAGCAGTACAAGAGTTTCCAACATTGATGACAAATCAGCATATCAGAATGATTTCTGAAGAATCACGTGACACTGAAGATTGAAGTAATGGCGGATGAAAATTCATTCTTTTTTTTTTTTTCATTTTTCCCCGTATTTATTTATTTATTTATTCCCAAAGTATATATTGTACTGAGAAAACAGTCTGGAAAACATGCCTATATTTTACTGTAATTTGCTTCTTACATGTAACATTTCCAACCCATTTGATTGCTCAGATGAAAAAAAAAAAAGGAAAAAAAAAAAGTCTCATCTATTTTGTTTGTGCTTCCATCCGATGTATTCACCAAAACTCACTGCCACTCTCAGACTGTTGCTAAGTCTGCCTCATCTGTAAATCCTCAAAGACACTTCATTCTTACAATCCAAACAATTCAGAAATATAGTTTCTCTAAGGGTTCTCCAGAATGAGTTTCAGCAACCATATTAACTTACTTTATGGTTCTTTTTTGAACCACAATGTCAGATTTTTTCACCAGCACTACTATAGTTTAGAGCCCACTGAAGACCTACTGCACATTAAAGTGACCGACTAAAAACTATACTACTCATAAAAACTCATAAAAGTAGCAATGCGCCAACGGCCACTGGTGTCTTAATTCATCAGAGCTTTACAGTTCATTTTACAACAACAGAAACATGTTCAGTCCTGCTAAATTAAGCATTCATTTTACTGATGCATAGCTGTCGTAACAGAAGTCACTGACAGTTTTACTGCCGTATCCAGCAGTGACTCGCACAGATTTGAACACATCACAGAGACATTCATTTGAGATGTGACTCACTTCACACTTTACTTTTAGAGCAAGGATCTTCAGACACCCACTCTTCACAAGACAGAGCAGCATATGATTCCCTTAGCCAGCATTTCACAGGCAAAGTGGAGCTTACTGGGCGTTCTCTACACACTCAATCTCACAGTTAACCTGCTTCTTAGAGCTGCAGCCAAATCTATCTGATGGCTTTCTGATGGTGTGATCAAAGCTGGGGCATTTCAACATCATCATCAAAAAAAAAAATGTATGTTGATATTTTTTCTTCTGGTGAAAGACATACATGAATGAAGAAGAAAGCCAAAATATTAAAAGCCATGTTGAATAATCACTAGCTAATCCACTATTTTTTGTAGAGTGGGGATCAAAATGACAATTTGGAGATTGAGAAATACAGATGACAGAAAAATGCCACTGATCTTGTTTTAATTTTTACACAGAAACTGGCATGTCTATTAGTAAAATCTGTTCACTTTAGCATCTTTTTTTTTTTGTTTGTTATATTATACCATTTATGGCAGTTCAAAGATGAAGGAGAAAAAAAACAATCTAAATTTGAGTATTTTTCTATGCAGAAACACTCCCTAACAAAATCACTTGCTAACTCTAGATTGATTAATTCTTTCTAAATATAGTTATTCAAGTGATTTGGAGAAAATTGATATATTAATGTACAAAATTATTATTATTGTTGTTGTTGTTAAATATTTATTTATTTATGTGCAAATGACAAAACAATTTGAAATTTTACTTATATTCATTTAGACATTCAGGGGATAGCCTACTTTAAGCAAATATTTTAGGTCATAAAAGTACGTAAGTTGGCAACCCCTGCATTAAACCATAAAAACTGGGTTTCAATCAAACCAAAATATAAGAAATACCATTAAAACAAAAGAACAAAACAGACCAACCAAGATCACACAGAACATGAGGAACAAAAGCAAAACGCACATCTAACCCTCTTGCACAAGAGTAAGACATTCTTAATATGACAAAACATAATTTAAATTATACAATAAAAATAGTGCTATTTGTAACATGTAAATATACATTTAGCTCGTATAAGAACAATAATGTAGAGGTCTAAAAATCTGCCACTGGCCCATTAAACCACATCCACACGGAAGATCACACATTATAACTTGGTTTATGGCAAGATATTGACCAATATAAACAACAGTTCATTGAGATGAAGCTCCAGCTAGCCTGCGATTTACACTCAAACTGACAACATGATAACCAGCCATTGGACCACTTCAAATAACAGCCGCCATATAATCACCCTGACACTAATTCTCATTTCATAATGAACTAATACAGAATAAATGTGTGCAAATCAACACATGAAAACGACCGAAGAGCCCTTCACTCACCTCTGTCTGGACGCGCGTGCTGTTGTTGAGATGACGGTTGATGTGCCTGATCAATATACACACGGCATCTCATAGCATATATTAATTTAGAGCGTATTATGTGTACGGAATTACTTTAGAATATTTTATAAATATAAAATACGTCATTAATTAAATTTTAACATCCTATATTTTAAGACTAAAGCGAGTGTGTGTGTTAAGGCGCGCCTCTTATGGCTGTTCTTGGGTCCTTGCGTTGAACTGACAGCTCTGTTTCCATCATGGCGGCGTCCAGCAGAGAGCATGTACTCTCACTCTACAGACTGCTTCTGAAGGCGAGCAAGACATTCCCCTCTTACAATTATAGGTATTTACAACAATATACATGTATTTATCAGCGACACAAGCGCGTGCCATTTATACAATAGTGTCCGTGGCATAATGTGGAATGTAGATGCATCAATAATACGGCGTATGCATAGATGCAGATCTGATCATTTCGGTATTTGTGATGTTTGCAGTATGTCTGCTGAAACATCCAGCTGAAAACTGCTTCATAATGTTTTGGAAACGTCGTACTTTTTTTTAGGATTCTTTGATAAATAGAACGTTTAAAAGAGCAGCATTTATTTGAAATAGAAACATTTGCTTAATAAACGTATTAATTTCCTTTCCCCAAAAATATTTGAATTGTTTCCCCTAACTAACTAACTAACTAACTAACTAACTAGTTTCCCCTAACTAACTAACTAGTTTCGCCTAACTAACTAACTAACTAACTAAACTCACCTAAGTAACTAACTAACTAACTAACTAGTTTCCCCTAACTAACTAACTATACGAACTAACTAACTAACTAGTTCCCCCCAACTAACTAACTATACGAACTAACTAATTAAATAAATAAAATAAGAGGCAGCTCAACTGTTTTCAATATTGCTAATAATAAGAAATGTTTCTTGAGCAGCAAATCAAATCAGTATTAGAATAATTAGAATCATTTCATTAAGACTGGAGTATATATCTTTTTTTTCTATGATATATTTGTTTTCTATTTTGATTATAGAGAGAGTGAGAGAGAGAGAGAGAACCAATATAATGAATTGTAATAATATCAATATTACTGTTTTGACTGTTTGTTTGTTTTTGCTCAAATAAATGCATCCTTTGTGAGCATAAAAGGCTAATAAAAAACATTAAAATCATAATTATTCCAAATATGATGAATTTAAGAAACAAATGTATACATTTACAATCATACATATTATACATCATATATATAATGTATATAAAATAAATGTATTTGTTTTGTACTATATCTTTGTACTATATTTGTTTTTTTTCTCTAATATCACTACTGGTTTATATATTTATTATATATTTATATATTATATTTAAATATATATTCATATATCTGTTGTTGTTGTTGTTTATAATAATTATTATTATTATACACCAAAATTTAAAAAAAGACAATTTCATTTTATGTGACCTCATCTTATTGACTCTTGCATCCAGTTTCAATAACTGATTTTTTCTGTGGGCTGAGGTGGAAGTTTGTATATATGAAACTTGCTTTGTTCTTGCAATGTAAATTAAAAGAGAAAAATGATTTTGTCATGATTTTAAATGAAATTCAACAGCAAGTCAAGGCCAAGACCCAAAGGTGTCAAACTCTGCTTCTGGAGGTTCACAGTCCTGCAGCGTTCAGCCCCAAATCTAATTAGACACATGAACCAGCTAACCGAGGTCTTCAGGATTATTTGAAATCACAGTTAAGCGTGTTGCTGAACTCTGCAGGACTATGACCCTTCAGGATCAGAGCTTGACAATCTGTGGAGGCTTCAGCCTTAACGAGTCTCATTAAATTATACTAATACTAAATAAGAAATAAGTCATTTAAAATCAATTAAATAAATAAATGCATCTGTAAAATAAACAGAGACAGTAAACTAATGAAGACAGAGAATGGGAGCTGCTGGTGTTGCAGCACTGTCAAAATAAAAGTCCCGCTTCTGACAAAACAGGAAAACTTATCGGCTGATGCAATAAGTGCCCAAATATCGGTCAGTGTATTGGCCTTAAGTGATGTATCGGTCATGAGCTTTTGCTTCATGTGAGAAGTTGGAAATGGAAGGTCAAGTGCATTGCATTGTGGGGAACAGAACCTTACAAAGTGTGCTCTGTCGTATGCTGCTGCGACTGGGAAATGTAGTCCTGTATGTAAGCCAGATATTCCATGTGGACAGAAAATGCACATACGATGCGCAGTATACATACTGTGCTGCAGAAATAGTATGAATAGCTTTATAGACTGCCATTCCCGTGATTCTCACTTCAACTCTTAATATTGAAAATATAACCATGATATATCATTCCAAGTTATTGTTCAGAAATTCTATCATCATGGTGCATTCATATTACAAATAGCTATAAAAGGCTTAACGAGTTCACAGAATAAAAAGCTGACAGCCAAAGGATAATAATCTCCCACCCACTCAGTTTCCATAGAGCTTTGAGTCTCTGAAATCTGCCAGTGTTCATACGTTAACAGTTTTAAAGCTCATACTTTTGTAATCCTTTTGGTTTGCCTGAATGCAAATGCTAATATTAATGCAATTCATAAATGTCTCACTGATGAAACAGAGGCAGAGTGGATTTGTGCAAGTCGCTCATAAAACTTTTTACAAAGAACAAATGTCTTAGTAAATCGATATATCAGTTAAACTTTCCTGAATATTTCCTCACCCTCGGGCCATCAGATTTGGAGAAATGTAGCATTGCATCACTTGCTCAGCATTGGATGTTCTGCAGTGAATGGGTGCCGTCAGAATGAGAGTCCAAACAGCTGATAAAAACATCACAGTAATCCACACCACTCCAGTCCATCAGTTAATGTCTTGAGAAGTCAAAAGCTGCATGTTTGTAAGAAACAAATCCATCATTATGGTGTTTTAGTTTTAAACTGTGGAATCTATAATACTGCGTCCTCCAGTGAAAAAGTCCATCTCCTGTTGTCTCTCACATCAAAATCCACCCACACAGTTGTTTAGATCTGTTTTGGACTGTTTTCACTTGTAAACGGTGTTTGATCTGTGCAGATTTCTCTCCTGATTCAGATGAGACGACTATTTCACTGGAGAAAGCAATAATATGGATAAAGGACTCGTATTTTAGTCGGAAGCAACAGTTTGAAGTTAAAAATGTCTAAATTATAGATTTATTACAAACACACAGCCTTTTCCTTCACATGGATGGCCTGAGGGTGAGTAAATTTTCAGCATTTGTTTATCTGGGTGTGCTATTTCTTTAAAATAACAATTCACAACAAAAATGTACATTCTGTGATCATTTACTCACTGTCATGTCACAAACCAACATGCTGTTTGTTATTTCATCTGTGAGATACAACAGGAGACATTTGGAAGAATCTTCACACTGATAAATTAAAAATCTGTTCTAATGAAGAAACAAATGACAATGAAGGGTCACGGTTTACACAGAAATCCATTCTGCTCGTTTCATTAATGAGGCCTATTGTTTTCACTGTAATTCTGGCTGGTTTAGCAAGAAACCCAATGTGCATGTTGATTAATAACGGTGTAATATAGTCTGTTAAATTATTCATTATGTTTTTTAACATGCTGATGGTAACTCAGATTTGGCATTTTTGAGATATGCAGTGTAATACTCCTTCAAATGGGATTTTTTAGGTTGTGGTTTGAGCGCCGTGTGTATGTGATGTGAAATTCTCAAATTTACGCAGGAGGAAAGAAGTTGAAACAGCATGTGAAGAGAGAGAGAAAGAGAGAGAGAGATGCATGGAAGGGAAAGAGTGAATGAAATGCAGAGCGACTGCGAGATGATTGAAAGCTGCAAACAAATTCAGTCAGTGAGAGCGAATGATTGAGAAGGGAGTATAAAAGAGATGTTGATTTTGACGGAAGGAAAGAAAAATATCACATCTGCCGAGAAATAAGATTCACAACACGCACCCAGAGAGAAAGAGAGACTCTTTTTGAGGAGAGGACGGTACACACTGCAGATTTAACAATACGGCTGCAAGTGTAGACTGCAGAAAGTAGGGCAGCTCTTACATAAAGCATCTTCCCGTTAAATATAACCCTCCCCCGTGGTCCTCCGGCTCGACATTAGTGCAGAGCCAATGACGACATATTTGTGCTCAGCTCACAAGAAACAAACCTTTAAAAGCCACAGATACATAAGTGATCAGGGATCAGCTCTGCTCACATCATGCAGATTTGCGTGTGAAATCTCACAGATCTTCTTGAAAGCCCTCGCCTGCCAAGCCGTTTGAATTCTTTGTGCCAGTGAGGTGTCCGTGACGCCTGTTTGAAACGGAGGGCTATTTTCTGTTCTGTTTGTAGCCATTTATTTCCTCGTAGCTTGCTGTTCATTTGACATGCTGCGTTTACTGTGACTGCGTTTGTTCTGTGTGTTCAGATTCCGTATCTAAATTGAGAAATGCTTCCATGGCTGTAAAAAATGATTGATTTCTTGCTCAGATTTATGGATAAAGTGCCAGCAAATCATTTCATGATCGTATTTTGGATCCACCCAAATATTCTTTCCAGAATGGTGTTTGCTGGCATCTTCGCAGGATGTGGGCAGGTGATATGTTTGCTGAAAGTTGAGCGCATCCTCCCGTTTCTGATGATAATGGGCTGTCACGAGTCTCTGTCGAGTCTCAGTGCAGCGTCTCTATGTTCCAGCCGTAATTTGAACGCTTCAGTATTAATGCTGAGCTTCAGTAGCATCTCTGAGGGTTTGATCTCTGAGAGTTCATCTCCACCACAAGCTCTGCATGCAGCGCTTCAGACTCGTCTCATATTGTCTCGTCTCTTTTCTTCTCTTCTTGTCTCTTCACTTCTCTTCTTTTTCATTTTCTTTTCACATTGCTTCTCTCATTGTTGTGGCTTTTTCTTCTCTCATCTCATCTTGTTTCATCTCTACTTTTTACTTAAGATCTTCCTTGTTTTCTCCAGGTCTTGCCTCTTATTTGTTTTTTTCTTCTGTCCTTATCATCTTTGAGACTAATCTGTCCTTGATTCGTATTGTTTAACTTCTCCTTTCTTCTCTCCTCGTCATCTTGTTTCTCTATCTGTCCTTGCATCTCATCCTTTCTTTTCTGTTCACATCTAGCTTCACTTCTCATCTCACTCTCACTTGCGCTTCTTGGCTTGTTTCTCTTTCGCTCCTCATCATGTTTCCTCTTTTGCTTCGTCTCGTTAGGTCTCTTGACATTTTTTGTTTGTTTCTTTTCTCTCTTCTCGTCTCTTCACATCTTGTCTTGCTTCTCTTCTCATCGTATCCTCTTTTTCCTCATCTCTCTGTTTTTCCACAGTTCTGTTAAAATACATTTTGGCCACGCTCATCATTTTTCAGCTGTACGTGTTAAATGCATTTCAGGGGCAGGAAGCATCTTTAGCTAGTAATACAGGGCCTGTGTATTTACAGCTGAAGGTGACATTAAATATTAAGCCATTATAATTGGTTCCACTTCACAGAACCATGAAACAAGTTGTTTTATGTTCTTTTAGATGCCTGTTATTACTCATGTTTTGTGTTGGTGAGTTGAATTAATTGTGTGTTTAACTGCCCATGGGTGACGCTACGCTAATTGTCGCCTACAGAACAAGAGTTTGCTAATCTGCTGTCGTAAGATCTTAAGCGAGAGTTCCTGTTCATCTCCCTAAATATAATTCTCTCAGCTGCCCAAGTGTTAATCACGCTCCCACCCGCTACATTCAATCGGACGCCACATTATGCTTTTGTTTAAGGTCAGCTTAAGCATATCCGACAATATGACGCATTCGCTTAAAAACACAAGCGTTTCGTTGCTCTGTCACGCGCATCATGGCTCATATTTAAGTCTGAATGCTTGGCAGCGAGGATGAGTGTCTCTCTGAGGATTCAATATGCGTGCCGCTCGATGAATCAGCCATGCCTACGCTGGTGACAAAGACCTACTGCTTAATTGTCCAATGGCCCCAACCAGAATTCACCATGGATCTACAGATCGCTGTCTGTTTTCCTCTTGACAAATGCTTTGTCTTGTTGATGACCTTAAAGCCAGATGGCTGAAAATACTGAAAATATCTATCAGCTGTTGCCTGGAAGGGATGATGTGAGTGGTTTATTATTAACTGGGTCTTCGATGTAATGGCTAGTGATGTAAACTGAAGAATGTGATGAGCTAAAATGGCTATACTTTATATAGAAACATGCAAATCCCTCTATTGTATTGTAAAGTTGATCTAAGATTTGCTTTCCAGACAAAAGAGTGGTAAAAGTTTTTGTTTTTTTAATGGCCTCTAATCATTTAGTCACTTGACCAAACTGTAAGACATCATGCAGTGCATCAAACTCTTAATATGAATGCAAGGTGGCGGGCAGAGTTGAGAGAAATCTTAAATTTAAATGTTTAATTCACTTCTGAAATGTATTGATCAAAAATGTTCAGCCTAATAAAAATGCACAATTTTACCCAAAATCTGTATGTTTTATGCATGTAAAAGCATCAAGCTGTTAGCTCAGCAAAATGCTAACATTAGACAGTGTATTGAAATCAACAATCAAATCAAGTTTCCTAGCAGTTTTTGTGAAAATACCACCTATATTGAACCCAGTTGGAAAACCACAACCCATAAACTCATAGAAAGGGACATGTGAATGCAGAAATTTTAAAGCTATAGTAGAAAACCATAAAAAACGTTTTTTTTCCTCTTAAAGGGGTCATATGATGCGATTTCATGTTTCCTGTTGTCTTTGAAATCTTACAAGCTGTCTGTGCATATATAAGATCTGTAAGGTCGCAGAGATTAAAGGGTTAGTTCACCTGTCAATAATTACTCACCCTCATGTCGTTCCAAACCCGTAAGACCTTCGTTCATCTTCGGGAATACAAATTAAGATATAGCAATGTAATTACCACGATCAAGGTCCAGAAACATAGCAAGGACATCGGTAAAATAATCCATGTGACATCAGTGGTTCAACTGTAATTTTACGAAGCTACGAGAATACTTTTTGTGCGCAAAGAAAACAAAAATAACAACTTTATTCAACAATTTGTCTCCTCCACGTCACCCTAGCGCCATTTTGGAGAATATCCACTGAACGCAAACAGCGTATACTGTTCTGTGTCAGCTGCGTCACGCAGATACGCTTTAATTTGAACGAAAACAACGTATCCGCAAGAGTATTCTTGTAGCTTCGTGAAATTACGGTTGTCACATGGATTATTTTACCGATGTCCTTGCTATGTTTCTGGACCTTGATCGTGGTAATTACATTGCTGTCTATGGGAGGGTCAGAGAGCTCTCAGAATTCATCAAAAATATCTTAATTTGTGTTTCGAAGATGACCGGAGGTCTTACGGGTTTAGAACGACATGAGGGTGCGTAATTATTGACAGAATTTTCATTTTTAAAATCTCAAACCCAAAGAGATATTCTGTCTAAAAGTTAAGACTCATCCACGCCTTCCTAAAATGCCTCATTCAAATACGCCCCCACAAATCTTCATCACTATGTGTGAAGATTTGCATAACACCAGCCAAAATGTATACGCAATGAAAGAAGGCGTAACTTTTATTCTCACTGCTGTAGTATTCCTGCCACCGCCACCATGGAAGCTGATATTCCAAATATGGTAAGGGGCGTAACATTTCCGTCACACTCTAGAGGTATCCGGCCAATCACAACGCACTGGATAGCTGGCCAATCACAGCACACCTCGCTTTTCAGACCGATGAGCTTTGTAATAATCAACGTGTTTCAGAAAGGCGGGGCATAGAGGAGAAATAATTATGTACAGTATGTGGAAAATAATGTGTTTTTTGAACCTTAAACCAAGTAAACACAATTCATTACACCAAATACACAAACTAACGTTCTTTTTAGCAATGTCGTCATATGACCCCTTTAAGGTACAGAGAGAAAATAGTAAATGGTCACGTGAAGGTGAATAGGAATTAAAAAACTTTGACTAACATTACAAGTGGACTTCACTGAAGAAACCAACCCATGCTCATTAGAGAGACTTTTCTGCTAAATTATGTTAAGTTGCTTCTGGCATGTTTCACAGCATTTTCAAAGTGAAATGCCCAGTGAACATGTTCAGTTTTATCCGAAACACATGGGAATCTGGAAAAGTGTTTTATTATGTTGATTGTTGTACATATCGTGGCTGTTCAGAAATGAAATATCTGTTTTTTTATCTCTTTTATTATAACTCGTGTTTCACAAAACTCGTACCTTCACTTCACGTTGCAAGTGCAGTGCTGTACCAGGTGCGCTACTGAGCAAGTTTACTACATCAGAAAAGCCATACATATGGAACTTGTTAAGTGACGCAAACATCAAAATCTATTACTTCTCAAATCATGCTCTATGGTAAAAGTGTTTTAAGATCTTACCGTAGTATTGTGCAAGGAATTGTACAAAAATAAATCTTTAGTAATCAATATTAATTTGCCTCTTAATTATAATTTGTGTGGAAAAGGAAAAAGCATTGTTGGTGTTTTACTGCCACTAGTTTAATTTCAGCTGGAAACTGAGGGGATTGTATGTATAGATATGTATAGGTATTTGCCAAAATATAGGTAGAGTCATGCTTTTTCAATAAGCCAATAAGATGGTTGCAACCATCAGTGTACGTGTTCCATGAGGTGAGCAAATAATAGATGGAATATAGAATAATGTGTTATATCCAGAAAGTGTATGACTTCGATGTACATACGTATTTTACTTGTGTTGTGCATGGCTTTAACCTCAGATTTGTCACACTAATACACACGAGCTGTTGAAAAAGCACATGACGAGTGCTTCAAAGCCGGCTGCTCAATTTTGACTCCTTTGAAGTGTCTGTCACTGTGGTATTTCTAAAGATGACGCGCTCTTTAACTAGCAACTGCCCCTTTTCCTTCTCAAGACACAATTTTGCATCTGTCATCTGGTGTTTTTTTAGTGTATGATCTAAGATTACTCAGCTCTCGCATGAGTGTGCTCTCACCTGTTCTGTCTGTCTCTTTCTCTGTGGGTTTCTCTCTCATTATTTGCAGATTTTCTTTCACCTCTCTGCCTTTCTCCCTGGCTTTTTTCCCTCCTCCTCTCCCCTTGTCCCATGAAATGGTGGGAAGCTTGGATTTGGCTGTCAGAGCGGAGCTGCCTAGTCTTGTGGAGGTGGTTCCTCGGGTGCCAGGCGAGACTTTGATCTTGGCATGGCACTGGGGCCTGCGTATGCCCCACACTGCTCGTGTTTCGAGATGAAAAGCCTGGAGATAGGCTTCCTCCTCGCTTTTTCGCACCCCAGAAGTGCAGATGTGCAAAGCTACCTTACAGCTTAGTAACTAGCTGTCTAATGACTGCTCCATTATTAGCATGTGGCACGCACAGCACTGGCGCTAATGAACTCTGTCATCCAGAAGAAATGTGACTGAGTTTGTCTTCACTTTACAATAAGGGAATGAGCACCACATTAAGTTTATTTCACGTCTTATTCCGCTTAATAACCCTTTTTAACATCAAGCTCATTCCGTGCTTTATTTTCTCATTCATGCATGTTTCTATATTAGACTAACATGGCAATAACTGTAAGTAATTTAAAACGGTTTGTGATTAATTTGCAGTTAAATGGCAAATTATGCAGAATCACATTGTTTTCAGCAATAGCTGAATCACACCAAAAAAAGCTTGAGTGACTTTTGCCAATAGACAATGAACCTTTTGCTTTTTTTGGCCAGTTTGACTCCCAAAATTGTGGCAGTGACTTTTGCAAGAGCAAGCAAATTTAAAACATCAAGTGAGCTGTTTTGATCTCTTGCTTCTGTAGGACGTACGCTCTACGGCGGGTACGAGATGCCTTCAGGGAGAACCGGACAGTGGAAGACCCAAAAGTTGTGGAGGAGCTGCTGAACAGGGCCCGGGACAGTTTGGCCCTCATCCAAAGACAGGTACTGGTCCAAAATATAGATGTTGTGACCTGTGGATTCTGTAGAGTTTGTTGAGAAATAAGAAGAGATGGTTGACATCCCAGAATAACATTTTGTGCATGGTTCCCTTTTTCCCCTTTGGGAAAGATGGTAAGAAAAGTGGGTAAGATTTTAATGTTTTTGAAAGAAGTCTTTTCTGCTCATCAAGCTGCATTTGTTAGATAAAAAATATAGTAAAAACTGTAACATTGTGAATCTTATTTTGATTCTTTATATGATAAGCAAACAAAAATAAATAAGTATAACATTTCTATGTGAATATGTTGTAAAATGTAATTTATTTCTGTGATCAAAGCTGTATTTTCAGCATCATTACTCCAGTCTTCAGTGTCACATGATCTTCAGAAATCATTCTAATATACTGATTTGCTGCTTAAGAAACTTTTCTGATTATCATCAATGTTAAAAACAGTTGTGCTGCTTAACAGCATTTATTTAAAATGTATTTACTGTCAAATGTATTGCTTCCTTACTGAATAGCAGTGTTAGGTTCTTTAAAAAAAACCTTAGTTTTATTCTGAAAAATAAATGAATGGATGTATGGCTGGACTCCAGTTAAAACATCAGCCATTCATTTATTTCCAGTTAAGAAATCTCCAGCTTTATTATTTGATCTACGGCAGACGTGCAGACCGGAAGTTGCTCACATGCAGGCGAAACCCATTTGCACAGTATGATTGGAGAAACTGGAATCTGGTGCGCTGGACATGTTCCTAGAAATTAAATCTATCAAAGGCCTATGGATTATCATGCTGTTTTATTTAAAAGCCATTAAAAGAACAGCAAACTTCATTTTCTCTCCGCTGGTGAACCTAATGAAGGAGCAGTGGGCTTCGTCTTGTCTTCCTGTTCCTGTATAATTCACTGGAGGAAGTCGTCTTCTGTCTGTCGCAGCTCCAGATGCATGTATATGAACACCTGCTCGGCTCCCACCTGTCCGCTGGCACGTCCTGCGCGCCACTAATGACCGCTGATGCCTCGCTGTTCCCATAATTCCACTCCAATTCAGGGCAGCTCCCTGAGAACATGATTCTTATGATTCTGACATTTCTTCAGATTTTGTTTTTCTTCTAAGTTAGTATCGGGGGCCTGAAATTAACACTCACCAAGTGTCAAATGCGAATGAAAATCTGCATTGGCGAGTATTTCAAACAGTGGTTCTCGCCAGTTGGCTGGTCATTTTTGTATTAATTCTAACATTGCCTGAGAACCTGATATGGTTAGCTTGATTATCAAATTGCAAAGACGTTGCAATTATATAAACGTGATCTGATGTGTTATGATCCTTTAATGCGAGCCACTCATGATGACAGTGTTTTAGTTACTCGTTCGCAGTAAATGTGGCTCCATATCTGGAAGTGCTGTGAGTTCGAGTCGCTTATTTATTTTATTTATTTATTTATTTATTTAGTCATTTATTAGACACTTTTATCCAAAGCGTCTTACAAATGAGGACAACAGAAGCAATCAATTGTAGTATTAAAACAACTAAAAACAGATCCAAAACTAAAAGCTAAAACTTTATAAATACTACCTATACACATTTTAAAAATAAAGAGATTAAATAAAAATGACAAATGCATACAACAAAATTTCAAAATGTAACATTTAAATTAAAAACAAAAAGCTTATAACATGCATTTAAAAATTTACAAATTTGTAAATAAGAACAGTTTCTAAATCTGTTGCCAATAAAAGAGAACATTTTCATCAAAATAAAAGCTCTATGGTTTTAACATTTGAAAGCAATTAAAATAACAAACATAAATATTAGTATTTTAAAATGCCCCTATTATGGATTTTTCTAAATTAGCTTTCATGCAGTGTGTAACACAGCTCTAAGTGAATGAAAACATCCTGCAAAGTTTTAAATCTGAAAGTGCACCGTGTATAAAGTTATTGTCTCTCAAAAGAAAGAGTCGACTCTGAATCATTGAAACGAGTCGTTTTTAAAACGAATCCCAAGCCGTTTCATGTTGATGTCAACGTGAAACATTAGCATATTGCCCGCCCACTTGTTGGTCTTTTCGAGTTGGTCTGAATGAAAATGCAAATTCATTCTTTGCCACTAGGTGCTGCTTTTGGAGCGTTAAAAATAGTGGTTTCCCCGGTAACGCTGTACACAAAGCAGCACTACGCTCACAAACACTGCTTTATCAGGCATTACAGGCATGATGACATGGAAATGAGACCAATCTGACCAATCACCGCAGATTAGCGTCACGCAAAGGAGGGGTTTGGAAAAATGAATCGTTGAGCGAATCATTTGGGAGTCGTTGAGCAAGTAAGCTAAAAAATAAATGCATGTTATAAGACAATGAAAGTGTTTTTTGACCTTGCATGCGTGTCAACCTGTTGTTGGAGACTCCCAAAACCAAAATATGAACCTTTCATAACCCATAATAGGGGCACTTTAAATTATTTTATTATTATTGTTGTTATTGTTATTAAAATTAAGTCATTTACAGTTCAGTAATATTATGGTGAAATTAATTTGTTTCATTTTCTATTTTGACTAAAATAATAATAATAAATTTGAATAGTATTAATAAACAAATCAGTTTTCTCAAGTCAGCTGCCATCGGCTTGGGTAGAATACAAGTTTAGGTGAATTTTGGCTATTTTAAAATATTCTTTGTATTACTATTTTTGGCTTAATCCCTCAAAAAATCTATATCTTTTTTTTATTCTTGAAATGAGAGAACATACAGATACTGTATATGTTACGAGGAGCAGCACAAACGAGGTTTGGAGAAGAATAGGAGGCACTGGGATAATTCGTCTCTTGTCTCGTACCAAAGGCGTTGAGCTGTTCTTTGAAACCGAATCAAAGTACAGCCTTAGAAATCAGTCCATCATGCTGTCTGCATTAAGAGCTTCTGTCACCCTGACACTCTCAGCATGGGAATCAATGAAGTTAAACTTCCTGGGGAGTTAAAACACCCTCTTCAATGAGAGTTAGAGAGTCAGGCTCAGAAGAGCAGCTTTCACTCTTTTTTTGAGATTCAAGGCCCAAAACATAATCTATGCGAGTGCGTGAATGTAGATGCTTTTAGCAATGCAAGCTTGATTTCCAGCTTTTCTGCATTCCCTGTTTGAAGAGAATGAGCAAATTACGTAAAGTTAGTTAAACTTGTTGACATAATACCGCTTCAGGTTTTTGGCAGACATACTGCCACAGTGTCTCAAGAATGCATGTGGGGTCCAAAAGTTAGACCATAATGAAAACATTAGATTTTTTTAAACCTGTAAATTAACAGAATTGTAGGATTTAAAAAAAATGTAGGAACTATTTATGATGCTGCAGTATTCCTTGTGAATTTATAAATGAAGACTGGCTAATATTGCACTTTAATTACCAATGCCATTGCAGATTATCTTTCATTTTTGAGTGTCTGATAACCTATATGATGATTTGATAACAACTATAAAGAAGTAAATAAATAATAATAATAATAATAATATAGTTGTAGCAGTAATAATAATAAAAATATTATTATTATTATTATTATTATTACTTCTACAACTATATTATTATTATTATTATTATTATTACTTGTTGTTGTTATTGTTTTCCTATTGATGTTATTTGTTATTATATTTATGCAGATTTGTTCTTGAATTTTGTGGGGAGCTAAAAGATCTTCAATTAAACAAAAAAAACTATTTCTTTTTGTTTTTGTTTTAAGCTGTCTAAATGATAATGTCCACCTTTTACATTAATCTGCACTTTTTCTCACACTTTTTTCTCACAATTATGACTTTTATACATTTTTCATGATTTTTTTCTCATATAAGGCGCGTGATGTCAATTTAGATTGGTGCAAAATTGCAAGATATAAAATTCAACAATTCTAAAAAAAAAAAAAAGCTGAATATTGAGGAAAAAATTCTGTCATATATTTTTTTATATTTATTTTGTGGTGGGGGGGGAACAATTCTTAGATGTAAATGTAGATTTCAAGAGATAAATTCAGAATTGCGACTTTATATCTTGCAATGCAGACTTTTTTCTCTGCATTGTGAGAGGAGCAGTAGCAGTTACCTTTTTTTTTTTTTTTTTTAATTCTGTGTCAGAAATGGGCTTCCGTAATTCCCACTATTGGCCTCAGACGTTTGATTCTCCCTGCGAGCGTGTCAGGCGTGCACAGATGCGTTTGCGTTCTAGTGTGGAGTGGGTTTGTGGTGTGTTGTAGTGTTTGTGGAGGTGTCTCTGCCGGTGACACTCAGCAGCGCAGCAGTCATCCAGCGCTCTGTTGACTCACACACATCACAGCACACGGACCCACGCCTCTCTCTGTTACACATGCATACTGTACACATAACATCCCGTTGTGTGTCGTGACACCGCCAGCATGCGTCCCGCCCTCCGCACACTCCCACAGCCCAGACTGGAGCACGCTTATGTCTTCTGCTCTTCTCTGAGTGTGTGGATCTCCTCCAGTCCGTGAGTCACTGCTGCCCTTCCACTCCTGCTCAGATCTTCTTTTCTGACACTCACTGTTTGCTGTGCTTTCTCAATGTTTTTGTATACAGTGGTGTGAAAAAGTGTTGGCCCCCTTCCTGATTTCTTATTTTTTTGCATGTTTGATATATATATGTATGTATATATGTATATATATATTAGTGCTGTCAAACGATTAATCACGTACAAAATAAAAGTTTTTGTTTACATAATCTGTGACCCTGGAGCACAAAAGCAGTCTTAAGTCGCTGGGGTATATTTGTAGCAATAGGCAAAAATACATTGTATGGGTCAAAATTATTGATTTTTCTTTTATGCCAAAAATCATTAGGACATGAAGTAGAGATCATGTTCCATGAAGATATTTTGTAAATTTACTACCGTATATCAAAACTTTAATTTTTGATTAGTAATATGCATTGCTAAGAACTACATTTGGACAACTTTAAAGGTGATTTTCTCAATATTTAGATTTTTTTTTGCACCCTCAGATTCC